GGAAGGTCCTCACTGTATGCGGTACAGGAACAATACAGTGTCTCTTTGTTCCACCACTCATTGAATCCGTGATAGTATTAAGGTACCTACTACTCACCTGTCCATTGGGTCAGGTGTTTTCAAAAGGTTAGCAACCTACATCAAGGGCAAAGGAGATTGGAGGGAGATCTTGAAGCCATGGAGAGGACTATGTATCTTCATCTCTATTCTACTTGAACAATGACCTGGCTAACCAACCTGGCCCAAAATACCAACGCCGACCATCTACGTAGTTCTCCTGGCATTTTTTCTCCGTTTTGATAGACCTACACATAGCAATAGTCCACATTCAGTTACAGAGCTTCCCATATCGTACAGATTATCCAATATCCTTATTCTTGGGAGACAACGCCCTTGGGGCTCGCTGATATCCTGCGAACGCGAACCGGCAGAGCAGCGTTAACCTCTTTCTCGTCCCGATACAACGGGTCCTCGTGTCCCTCGGCCTCCCACAGACCTGGGCCACTTTCGGCGACAGGTGCATCCTCAACCACTTCGCCAAGAAGTTTCTCTTCCTTCTTGGTATGCGACTGGGCCTGGCGTCTGAGAAGCTCACGACGTTTTTGTTGCTTGTCTGCGTCGAAATCGGCTGATTCCAGACAGTTTGTGATCTTCTCCTCAACCAAGGTTTTGACATGGAACGCCAGGTTCTGGCTGATGAACACGCCACGGTACCGGTAGCTGAGCCACAGATACAGGGTGATGGCCTTGTGGAGACCTTCGAGTCGCACCAAATAGTCCTTGCGTTTAACGACATTAAGCGCTGAAGGATCAACGTCGAGCACCTCCAGATCGATTTCGGGAATCTCGAGCAAGTGACCGCCCGACAAGTTGGCAATACTCCAAGCAAATGCCCTGAGAATGTCTTTTTGTGCCTCTTCACGGAGCGCAACGGGAGCTGTCAGCAAGACCGAACGGTCGTATATGCTGAGCTTGAACTCCTTGATAACCTCGGCAACGTCGAGGGGATCGCCAAAGCTGCACATGTTGAAGGAGCTCGAGAGCCTTGCCATTTCCCTGAGTCGGGAGAGAACGAACCCAAGGGGAATGTCGGAAGAGAACTGGAAGGCAAACCGCTCGATGATATGCGAGGGCGGCATGATACCCGCCGCGGTAATGGGGTTGGCGTCCTTGAGAAGATGCTTCGTGATATGCTCGAGATCCTGCCCATCCATGGCTGTGACGAAGCCCGGCGCTCCCCACTTGCTACGGGTAGACGTAACCGAAGTCTCATCTTCTTCGCCCGAGCGCGCAGCATCGTTGGCTGTCCTATAACGACCAGCCCTACCGGCGATTTGCTTAACTTCCGGGATCGTCAGGGGGCGCTGCGTCGAGCCATCAAATTTGAATGCCGATTCGAAGACGACGCGCTTAATCTCGAGGTTCAGACCCATGCCAATGGCATCACTGGCAACCAAGAAATCGTAGTCGTTGTTCGGGTCATTGAACAAGGCAGCCTGGGCCGCTCTGGTTTCAGGCGGCAACGAGCCGTAAACGATAGCACATTTACGCCCAGTTGCCGATTCGATACCAGCTTTCAGAGCGTGCAAGTTGACCCGAGAGAACGCAATAACAGCGTCACCTTTCTGAAGATTCTTGAAGTCATCGCCAACAGCTTTCTCCATGGGAAGCAAAGGGTTCAGCCTCACGTAACGGTGCACGATGCACTTGTCGCCCAAACGAGCACAAAGCTCCTGTATCAGATCAACCACTCTTTCCTCTCCACAAAGATGAAGCTCCTTTGCCTGGCAGCCCAGGACCGCCTGAGTCCAAGCCCAACCACGGTGTTCGTCGGCGATCATTTGAATCTCGTCAATGACAGCGACATCCACCTTCCAGTTCAAGGGCGTCATTTCCACCGTACAACTTCGGAAGTACATGTCGGCATCTTCCGGTATCCTCTGTTCCTCGCCTGTGATGAGGGCGCAACGTTTCCCCTTGGCGATGAATCGCGTGTAGATTTCGTGAGCTAGCAGTCGAAGGGGGCCGGCATAGATGCCCGATTTTGCGTTTTCGAGAGCTTTCAAGGCGTTGTATGTCTTTCCAGAGTTCGTTGGCCCAACGTGCAGGTGAATAGTGCGCTGCAGTTGGCGAGTGGCAGGGAACCATTCGTAAGGGAAGCGCAAATCGGCAAGTTGGAGGTGCAAGGCGGTGGTGGACTTGGAGAAGTTCTTGCGCATCAAGAAGGTTTGGAGCGCGTACCGAAGTTCCTTGGTCAATCCTTGCGCATCGCCCTTGATGAAGGCAGCGCGCAAGTTCCAGAACAACGGGTTATCGCTACGCGCAGTCAGGCTGAGTGTGCTGGCCAGGCCGAACGACTTCTTCAGGGCATCTTTGAAGAGGGAGATCTCTTGGATGAAGGCCTCTTGAGAATGTAGCCCGAATGCTCTGTATTCCCGGTGCTCCGGATTCCATTGCCCCAAATCCCTTAGCAGGGTATTTAATCGGTGCCTGGTAAGGTCGTAGAACTCGTCGTATCTCTGTCGCAGCGCTGGTTCGGAGGACGTCGTCCTGCGTTGTGCCCTTTCGCGGTCACTGAGGCGTCGTCGTAGCTGTTCGTCAGCTGGCAAGTCCTACACGGCAAAAGAAGGTCAGCAATCCGGCAGTAAGGGCAAGGGCTGTCGAGGGGTCGAACATTGAAGGACTTGTTGACTGCAGAGCCGCGCGTCACAGCCTTCTTGGGCGGTTTAGACGGCTTCGACCGAAAGCGGCGAGTAACGAGGACTGCGCTCCGCGGACATCTCCAGGCCTGCCCTAACAACGCGTTCATGACGGTGGACGAGATGTGCCGGCGATCATGCTCGTCGTTCGAGTCAGCATGAAAAGGTGTTGGAATCTGGAGATGTGGACTTGGAGCCCCGGAGCCGCGTGGGATGGATGCCCTACAATAATTCTTATCGTCAAGTCTGTGACCCTTGAGGATCCAATTCTTTTTCCTTATCGCTTGGTTGCCCTCTCTTCACACTCTTGGCACTGTGCCACCTTTGACCCCTGAGGCTCCGCTGAGGTGTTCACCCCGGCTGAACTCGGTCCACCCCCCAAGCCCACAAGGCCGTCAAAGGTGGAGGTGGTCCTGCATCGTCATCATGCAGCCCGTGAGTGACACTCCGCTGAGCCCGCTCTGTAACCTCAGTGGTAACTTACCGTGACCGACAGCTGAGCATTTCGAGAGTCTCGATTCCCATCTCAGCATCCATCCTACAATTCGATCACTACGAGCCGTGAACGGCTACCATCTCGACATCTGGACGCCGAACCCAATAGAGTAGACGTATCTGCCAACGTTCTCCCACAAACTCCCATCTTCCTCCGCACATCGACTTGACTTGGACGACTTGGTGATCCCAACAAAGGATCTCTACGCGCATCCAAAATGGCCTCGTCCTCGACTCCAGCAACTCCTCTCCTCTAGTACGTTAACCTACTTCACCACTTGTCCCTTAGACAATCAACAAGCTTAATACTAACAACCATCTCCTATTCCAGTTCCTGCATCGCCCACAACACCACCATCCTAGCCGAGTGCACCACCTCCGCCTCGTCCCAAACCTCGTCGCTCGCCTCTCTCATCCTTCCCAAGATCGACCACTCGACCCCTCAAAAGCTCACCTACACGCATGGCTCCTACCACATCCATTACATGTCCGAGTCGCCCTCGGATTGGACTTCTCAGCCCTCCGCCTCCTCCGCAGGCGGCCTTACCTTCCTCGTCGTAGCCGACTCCTCCCTAGGCCGTCGCATCCCCTTCGGCTTCCTGGTCGAAGTTCGCAAGCGTTTTCTGGCACAATACCCTCCCGGCCCGACCAACGACTTTGCCGACATGCCCAACTACGGCGCGGCCTCGTTCAACGGAGAGCTCAAGACGCTGATGGTCGACTACGGCACCACGGGTCAGGGGCAGAACGATGCGATTACCAATGCCAAGCGGGAGATTGAGGATGTGAAGGGGATCATGACGAGGAACATTGAGGGCCTGCTGGAGAGAGGCGAGAGGATTGATTTGTTGGTGGATAAGACGGATAGGTTGGGCGGCAGCGCGCGCGAGTTCAGGGTTAGAAGCAGGGGGCTCAAGCGCAAGATGTGGTGGAAGAATGTGAAGCTGATGGCGCTGTTGGCGCTAGTGGTGGTGTTGATTGTGCTGTCGATCGTGCTGGCGGTGAAAAACAGCCTGCCATGAATGATCGATCGGGTTGGTTGGAGCAAGTCAAGATTTGGTTTTTCCGGTTGCCTGAGTGGGCGTGCATGGGTTCATGAGTGATGGGTTACGAACAAAATACGGTGTCTTATGTTGTCATGGCTTTTTTGCTCTTCTGTTACTTTAGTTCTGGCGCTTCTCAAGTTTTGCGGTTGCTTTTCTTTTCTGTCTCTTTGCTTGTGTTTTGGTCCGGTTATAATTCGTAGAGCCTGTATATCATTGCTTTATTTTCAAACCAGGCATTCTTCTCTCCTATTTTTCCCATGGACACAAAGCCTCGGGCAGGAAATACGAACACTGTGACTGCTGCCACCCCCTTAGCGACGTGAAGGAAAGGATGTAAGAACTTGAAGGTTTACACGTGTTGAAGAAACAGTCAAGAGAAATTTAGCCGAACCTAAGTGGAAGTGGTCGATAAATCGGTCATCGACAAAGGGAAGACGGGAGCAGAGAGAATGTCTGGAAGGAAAAAAAAAAAAAAAAAAAAAAAAAAAAACCTGAGAAAGAAAAAGCCCAAACGGGAAAAGATAGCTTGGATACAAACGGTTCTCCCAGCAACAACACCAAAGCAGAGAGAGCCATGGCAAGTCCGCAACTGCCAGCGATCGTCGTCAGTTTTGAATTACCAAGCTTAATCCCGACACCTGTGAATGGAATGCTCTTCCTCTCAACAACTCGATAGGCCTCAATCAAAAAGGAGGAGGCAAAAGATACCAAGAAGATATTGGAACCAACCGGCAGAAAGAAAAAAAAAGGAAAAGAATGATGGACAAACCATGGTTTGAACACGGTCTGTAAGAGCAGCACTTAGGGAAAACAAGACATTGCAAAACAGATATTCTACCACTGAACTATCCGCCCATGGAAGTCTGTTGTTGGAAGTTTGTAGTTGGGACACTAACTTATAAGGGGCAAGAAGACTAAAAGAGGGCGGGGGTGCACTTCACCCGGGTTTGGAGGGGGAGGGAAAGTATCGTGGGCCATTTACATAAACGATCAGGAGAAAGGACGGATAAGGGCATGGAATCGAAAGAATGATGAGTTGAAGAGTTGTTTGTTCATGTTTCGATGGCTACCTAGTTGGAAGCCGCGTCTTCTGTCATGAGTTCGGCTCAAAGAGGAAACATGATTGCTGCTCGAACATCGCACGGAGAGACCGTTCTATAACGTCCTATGGCCCTCCCAAGATACTCCAATGGTGTTACCAGCAGGATCGCATTTGCAATTGTTGGCCATGTCTTCGTCATGCCGTTCCCAGCCCCCATCTTATATCCCAAGCCCTGCTTTCACGGTAATTGTGTGTCTGAGAAGGCCTCGAACCTGCCGCACCTTATACCTCCCCATCCACGCACAACCCTTTCCCATCCATCAATCACCCTCATAACCTCGAATTCCCTCCTGCAACCTTTGCCGATCCAATCACCAAATTTCCCAGGTCCATAGACCCTGGCCCTTGAAGCCTTTGCGCATCCTGAAACATATACCCGTGAACCACCGGGCTCACCGCATGTGGTGATGTTGAGTGAGGTCCTGGTTGGAGTGTGAAAGATGGACTCCTGCGCAGTTTTGACGTGAAGAAGGCTGGGTGGCAGTATGATGGGTTGAGAGTCATGGTAGGTGGTGGCATTGTTGTTTTGAGCACAGGTGTAGGAGGTTTTGTTGTTGACTGTGAAAGTGGAGGGGTAGACGTGGAGGAAGAAGATGGGAACGGTGTCTGGTTTAATAGGACGGCCGTCATGGATGCCCGTCTTGCTGACGCGCTTGCGTTGATGGTCTTAATGGTTGGTACTCGGTTTTTAAAGATTTTTCGGACTAAGTACTGGATGATGTCAAGACTGAATCGCGTAGTGCAGTGGAAGTGAGTTCGAGGGTTCAAGTCGTATCGCCGCTGATGGACCTGAGTTGTCGTTGGTGATGGCAGTTGTTTGAGGCTTCCGAGGGTTGAGGACAGGTATGATCGCTGGTACTGAAATTCGGGGTTTTTATATAAACAAGTTCAAGTTCTGATATCAACGACAACTCTTTGAAGATCAGACGGGCAATGGATTATGCACCCCACGAATTCATGGTTCCGGGACGTTGGATCGCCCAGGATGAAGTTCGTCATTGTTGATCATCTTCACGTGCAGTGCCGAAGTGGCCCCACTATAACTACTGTACCGGCCCGGCGTGCTACATATCCCCGCTCAACATGGTGCCGAGCGACCGAGGGCTCCGCTCGTGGATCGGCCCGTCCCTGAGCACCGGGATAGAATTCCACCACATCTGGCCTGTATCTTTAAACATTATGGTCATTTTGCCTATGAGAATGTGAAATCTATAGGTTGTTGCCCGCGTACTCGGTCTCCCATCTAGGCAGTCTTTTCTCCATTCTTCGCCTTCTTCCCACTCTTGGACTTTTCTTTCTCTTTCTGCTTCCCCTTCTTGATCGTGTTGACCAAAGATTCGATCTCCTCCACCCGCTCACGTTCCTTTCTTTCCTCCTCCTTCTCCATCTCCCTTTTCTTTGCCCTTGCCCTCTTTGCGGCCGCATCCTTCTCCTTCTCTTCAATCAGCTTATCGCTTGATTCCCAAAGCTTTTTCGCAACAGCTTCGTCGTCCACATCCTTCCGTGCGCAATCTACCACCATGCACTCCTTGACCACCTTTCCTCCCTTGTCGCGAACGAGACTGCCTTCCATAACGGCCCACAAAATGGATTGCGCGCCCATTCTGGCGCTCTTTAGGAAGAGCCAGGAGAACGCATAAAGGAAAAGGTACACGATGAGACCCCATATTGTGCCTCTTGTAGCCCACCGACGCATGCCAGGGGTTCTCGTGTATCCAGGGTCCACCAGGAAGACGCGCGCATTCATCGGAAGCTGATCGGGCCTCTTGTACGCGTCCAAATGCTTTTGGTATGCCTTGCCAAACACCATCATGGCCAGTTTACTCCGTGCGTATGCCTTACCCGGAGACCAGTCCTTCTTATCCAATGCTTTATCCAGTGATGGCGAACGGATATAGGCGGGACATGTCGGGATGATGATGCGCACATCGCGGTCGAACGGTTGCGCGCGGATCGCGGGGCTGAGGATGCCCAGAAGATGGAAGTTGGAGAGGTAGTTAACCTGCCAGGTACTCTCCACGCCATCCGGTGTCTCTGTATAGTCCTTCCCGGGCGGTGTGAGGGTTGCTCCGCAAAGAATGATGGTGTCGAGGCGGCGGGGAGGGGCGTTGTCAACCCATTTCGTCGCAAACTTTCGGACGCTGTGTAGGGAGCGTAGATTAACTTGTTCGGCGTAGATGAGTTGGTTGTTGGTGCGATCGCGCATGTCATCGATGAAGTCGACGAGAAAGGGATCGTTATGCTCGTGGTGGGTAAGGATGATGACTTGGGCGCCTCGTTTGGCAAGCTCGTATACCGTAGCGGCGCCGATTCCTGATGTGCCGCCGGTGATCATGACGACTCGACCGTGCATATTCCGTTCGGCCGTACATGTCGCGCCACTGGCATAGATCTTTGTGAAAGCGATGGCTCCGAGAGCGCTACCGGCCTTGGTGAGAGTCCACGGCCCGGGCAGCCATGATGGCCACCCGTCCAAGATGATGCTGGTGAGGAACGGGATCGGCATTATGGGGGATGTTGTTCGGATGGATCGTAAGTGCTTCCGGTCTCGTTACAAGGTCATTCTTCGGATCGCGTATGTTGTTGAGGCAGAAGCATGGAGAGAGCGCATGCAAAAAGAGGCCAGCAACTTGAGCTCTATTCTAGAAAGGAGAAGCTGTCGCAATTGGTCATCCAACTGCGGCCAGAAGTTTTGGCTCCAACATACACTACCTCTAAACAGCAGGCTCAAACGTGGGTTACGTCAGGGGCTCAGGGGCTATAATTAGTGACCCACTCTACCAGTCAGGCGGGGGCACCGAAGTCCGATGGCGGGGATGGGATGGAACGGATCCGTTGATCCAAACATGGACCGGGGCCGGGAACGGAGCCGCATCGATGGCAGGCATCAAGGTTCTCCCGCGATTCTCTCATCAATTACTTCACGACTTCACATCGGATTCCTTGCCTAGAGCTCACGAATTTGCTCACACAACCTTTGCAATCCCTCCAAAACCGTCAATCCACAGATACCTTAACAACGCAGACAGTTCAATAACATCGAAGGCTGTCCGTATGCACTCGTCATGAGTTCCTCAGAAAGGCGACCTGCCGCAAAAGCAAAAGACGACAATGAAGAAAAAGTTCCTCTCCACCACTTGCGTCCCTTCGGCACCGGGTTGTACAAGCAACATATAAAATTCGTCCCTGCCTCCGATGGCGACCTAGACTCGACCAGTTCAACGGCGGCCAAGTCCAAGCCAAAACTTGACGTAGCTGATCTCTATCTGAACATGGTCCTGGCCAACAAGAACACGCCCAAAGATAAACAGAAGCAACAACAAAAAGAAAATGCAACAACAGCAACAGACACCACCACCACCCCCTCAGCCACAATCACGACAACCCAAAGCACAAGCACAACACCAACAGACCAGCCACCAATACCACACCAAGTCACCTGCTCCATCTGCTCCCTTCCCTACGAACCCACCCCCACGGGCCTCATAGCCCACGAATCCTCCTTCGCGCACCAATCCCGCCTCCCCCACTCCCACCCACCATCCGCGTTAGACCGTTCCCGGATGGGCCTCAAACATCTCACAAGCCACGGCTGGGATCCCGATTCCCGACAAGGTCTCGGGTCCGCGGCGCAGGGGATCCAGTTCCCCATCAAAGGGAAAAAGAAGGATGATCACTTGGGTCTTGGGGTTGAACCCTCAAAGAATGGGACACCAGTGGTAAAGAAGAAGGAGAAGTTGTTGGATGCGAAAAAGGTGAGGAAGATGCAGGAACAGGATAAGAAGAGGGGGGAGAGGATACAGCGGGAGCTGTGGGGGAGGGGACCGGATTTGGAGAGGTATTTGGGAAAGGGAATGTAGTGATATTCACGATCGGTGAGGATGGCATCGAGGTAAGGCGGCGGTCGCCTTGGTGTGTGGTAGCCGGGTAAGCGGCTGGTGGTTCGTGAACCTTGAAACTCAGAAGAACTTGTCATTTCGGACGCTCAAGGTAAAGATATGGAATATTCCAAAACCGAATAATGATAAGACTCAGCGCCGATTGAGACGCGCTTCCATCACCTAAACCCAAAGCAACGCCATGCAGGGACCGTGCGACGGGAGTCAATACTCCTTAATCAGCTTTTCTGATTTGTCGCTCTGATCTGGCATAACAGTCGATTAAATCCTTGGTCTCCTTTGTCCCCTTCGTCCATTGTATCTCCGACACCCACTGGAACGAACAACCTCTTCTTATACGCCACCAACCTCCCAAACAAACCCATTAGCTAATGAAGCACAAGCACCCCAAAGCAACATAGAAAATCAGAAGGGGGAAGACCGCCAACCCAACCCTGTTCTTGAGAACGCCACTTCCACTGAGAATGCTCACACCAGCCGCAAAGGACCAGCCGACGAGCACCAGGTAGACCGGGATCCTGGCGACCCAGTACAGCGAGAGCGCGGAGAGCATGGCAGCCAGGACGAGAGGGAAGAGGGTGTATCCGATAATACAGACACTTTGGGCGAAAGAGCTGTTGTTGAGACATAATTGTTAGCATGACTCCTCTCAAACATCGGCGATGAAAGACACACATATTCCCACCCAACAACTTGATCTGCGCCGTCACCACCGCCTCACCAATCCACACCATCGCAAACACCCCGCTGAACACAATCGCCCTCTGCTGCTCCCTGCTTCTAAAGCTCAGCAACGTGCTGAGCAACAGACAGAAAATCAACGGGCCCCAGAGATCCCAATCCCTCAGCCCGGG